TTCATACATATATGATCCCCACAAAACGATAAGTTCATGTATTTAGTGTGTGAAAGAGAAAGTGCAATGATTTTTTGTAAGCGAAATGAAAAATGACGTGGTTTTGAGATTTGAATAACAAACTTTATATCAAGTAAAGAAAACTATAAAATTTCTGATTATCTATGTGGAAAGACTCCTGCCTTGTGAAGTAGTGTTAGACGGCAAAATTAACTATATTCAAAGATTCTGAGAAATTAACTTACACGATCAGATATAAAGTAAAGTCTTCGATTACCACGACTGAACAACTTTGAGTGCTGGCCACCATGAATTAGAAAGTGAATTCCCCTGAATAACCAGTGTTATCTTTTTGATATAACATTTTCAATTACGCAAACTGAAATATCTCATAAACTCAAAGTTTACTGAGTGTTTTCTTAGGACTTGTGTCAGTATAAGGTACACTAAAAACACTAGTGTGGATTGTGAGTGCACAGCCAAAGGCACAAAGTAATAGCTGTACAACGCTGCTTTGGAGTCTTCCTAACGGATACTAAACTTGTACTCGACTGGTCTTGTGGAAAGTAAGATATAGGTGCTAATAGGTTCTTATTATTAAAAGCTAGAGTTTTGGTGCTTGCAGAGAGATCATGATGAGAGCAAGTTAGCGTTTTAGTCCAGACAGTCTTTGTCAGGGTTGTCTAAATCCATTCTGCACCCTTACACACACAGTACTGAAACTACAACTAATATATACAGTAACATTTAAATAGAATTTTGCTTCTTTTGTAGATTTTTACTAATTTTACCAAAGAATATCCCAGATACGGCAGGATTTTTGTACAGCGTCTGCTTCTGAAGCGTTTATAGCATGCATTTTTGTTTGTTTGCAGGGACTAAGCAACAAAAGAAAAAAAAAGAAATATATTACAATTGGATCTATGAAACAATCAATCTTTGTTTGGAATTTAACCTTTGTGTATGGTCTGGTTCAAACACAGTTTGCTGTAAAAAAAATTTGTATTTATTGTAAAAAAAGTTTGAAAAATGTCAGAACAGTACATAAAAAGTTATCCAAAAAACACAGTAAATGGGAAACATTATCAAAGACTTAAAATTAGAAATACTAGTTTCATTACATTCTCAGTCCTCTTAAATCAACGTGAACTTGAAAGGACACATTAAAGTGTCAAAACCAGTTTCTTTGATTTCAAGTCTTTTGGTAGTTTGTTGTATTTACTGTTTTTTCACCATATTACCCAATATTGTGTTTTTCTATGTAATCATAACTGGTCACGCACTCTTATAAACATTTCTACTTACCTGCAGTCCTTAATTTTATGTTAGCTTTTTGGACATTTAACCATCCTGAAGTTCACACTATTTTATTTAATGCATCTAAACACTATTCCTTGTCTAGTTTTCCATAAACAACAGAACTGGATTGGTACAACTTGATCTCCGATATGGTGCATCTGGTACAGTAGATGTAGTATTTACAATAGTGGAACATCCAGTAACTTCAGGGCCTGTTTGCAATTACAAGAATTGAGGTAGTGTCCCAATTTTAGGTTTAATATTTTCTCCTAGATCTGTTTTCATGTTTGCACCTACTGTAGCCATTTCTGATTTGTTAATCTACTTAACTCTTTATACTGTACTATTCTACTCGATTACAAACACTATATCCTGTATTTTCTTCTTAAAACATGTTGATGACTGACAAAAATTTAACCCTACTGACAGTGACAGTTCTGTACCTGCTGTTTACTGAAGACGGGGATAGGTTTTTCATCTCAAACCTTTCACAAAATAGTAATTACTTAAAGAGAAAAGTCAGAATAAAAAAAACATTAACGTTTCATCAAAATCATAATTACAAAGATTCATGGTTAATAGTTCTTAATCAAAATATCCCTTCCACACAAATAATTACTTCCAGTTAATTCATAGCTCCTAGTTTGTCAAATGTTCTTACTTTAATTTCAAGTACTACATAAACAAATATATAGCTTGCAGAAAGCAAGAAGGTGCAGCAACTTGTGAATCTAACTGACACAGTCCTTGGCAAGAGGTTAACTTGAATTAAGACTAACTAAATATTTAACTGTTCCAGCTTGTATACCATCAGTACCTATTTGGATTTGATTATGTTTCTAGGAGACATCAATAAGGTTCGCATCACATGCATTTCTATAGTATATGCTAATTTTATTTGCTCGTGCTATCCATGTGATTTCTTTATGTCAACTGCATGATACTTCATCAGATTTTTTTGGAAATATCCTAATCAAGTGAGAATACTGACGTGTCTATGTTCACCTGTGAAAAAAGATAGGCCCATCTGTTGAAAGCACAGGAGTTTATATAATTTTTTTTTTAATTTATTAACCTTTCTTGATCAAACATTTTTTTACTATAATGTCTATGTTCATAACATCTGAGCTCACCACAAACAAGTAAATTCCTAGCTTCACTTAGAAGTCACAATAACAGCTGTTATTGGTTGCTTTGCAATTCCGAGCATCACCAAAATAGTGACAACAAAATTTTCATCCTGTGTGTTTATATGAATGTTTTATGCTACATTTGACTGTCTTACAGCTTTATCTTCTCCACAAATATTAATAAAACATATATGAAAAAAGGTTTTGGTAAACATTTTTAAAATTGAAGCTGTTTTATTTATAATACTGACCAACATGCATTTGAATGACGAAGAATTCATAACTCACAAATACAGTGTGAAGTTAGAAAACAAAAGTACAATACGAGTCAGCTTACATGATGCTGGGAAACCATTAGAAACAGAGCTTTATACAATTTCAGTAATACTGCAGATATCCAAATAATGCTACAAGAACTTTATCAAAACAAAATCAGATGGAACAATTATTGTTTCAAAACATAGTGCAGGGAAGCATATTAAACCACGAGAGCCACTTTGAAAGTAAAGTTGTGTTAAACAGTACACAAAGTGTTGTGAATTTGTATGTGGTTCCACACTATTAAGAAGAGAATGACTTGTTTAAACTTGGCAGTTGAGATTAAGACTTTGCAACAACCATACTAACAAACTCTAAGATGTTATTATTTGACAAAGATAAACAGCAGTTACAATATATCCAGTAATGAAAGTAAAAAACACTTCTTCAAAGGCTCGATAATATATTTGTATGATTGTCTGTTAGTCAGAAATGTAGAGAAATTAACACAGATTCATCTTCAACTAGATATAGAAGAGATGGGAATTCCTGGCATTAAGTACACCAAAGAGTTTATTTAGATGCAAATGCCCTCCATTTTGCATTTCTTTGGAACCAGCTATAGGTAAAAGATCAACAGAACAAATCCTCTAGGATACAGCACATAACATTTGTTAGATAACATGATAATTTCTGAAAAGTCCAAAAAAGAACACATGGAAATTCCTGGTATCACACTGAGTTGTCATGAGAAATATCATATAAAAACTAATTTAAGTAAATGCAAGTTTTTCTCTGAGAATATCAGATATTACAGTTATAGTATAGGCAAAAAAGAATTTTCCAGATCATCCTGAGAAAGTGGAAGAAGCACTCAGGGCCTGAAAATGTGGCACAAGTATGATCCTTTTTAGGACTAGTTAACTGTCACCAACAAATTCTGAACTTCCCTAGGAAAGCAAACCTTCTTAACCAACTGTTTTAGAAGAACATGAAATACTTCTGGACAACTGCACAAGAATACATTTTGGAAAATCAAGAAACTTATCTCATTTGGTCAAGTACTTTGTACTTTGAGATATCATCTTCTGTCAATTTGGCTTAAGACACTTTCTCAAATGGTCTGAGAATCATCTTATTATAGGTGTTTGAGAATGGCATAGAGAGACATGTTGATTTTGTTTAGAAATCCTTGGTATCGGCCAAAAAATATTACAAATTAACCAGGAAGACACGAGTATTATTTGGGAAGCTCAACTTATATCTCCATGTTTTTCAATTCATGTCAGTGATTGATCTTTGCTATGATAGCAGTAAATTTACAAAGATACATGCCCTTCTTAGCAGGACATGGATATCTGAATACTCCCCATCATTCTAAAGGACTTTACTCCTGGCATGAGAAAATTCACAATATCATTACACCACTAACTCCAACTACTAACAACACATGTGGGGTCAAATGCCTCATGCGGTATCTACCGGAAACATGATTCATCAGACCACATCACATGCTTCAAGTCATTTAGTTTTGACAGTTTGCACTGTAAGCATCACTAACACAGTTTTCCTGTTTGAATCTTCTTTCTCTGGGTACATTAGAGACAGTGAAATTATGAACAATATTGCACTAAACCTGTCTAATATGCATTTCTGTCAGTCTATTACCAGTGATTTACAACTACAGTTATTTCTAATAACAGATATGTTCCCTTGTTTAGTGTTATTGTTCAGAAACAATATCTTTGTACAATTAGTCAAAAAATTAACTAAGAATATGACATTCCTGCTAGACAGATACTCATTATTATTCCTCTTTGAAACTTGGAAAAAACTTTACTCTTATTCATTGCCTTGCAGAATAATCATAATGTGACTATCTTTACATTTAAAAAGTTCAAAAGTAATCTTAACATATTGTTTGAGTGTGTTTGTTGGGAGTAATAATTAGTTGGACAATCAGTGTATGTGTGTTATAGGTTCTAGGACAATCAGTGTATGTGTGTTATAGGTTCTAGGACAATCAGTGTATGTGTGTTATAGGTTCTAAACAATCAGTGTATGTGTGTTATAGGTTCTAGGACAATCAGTGTATGTGTGTTATAGGTTCTAAACAATATACCTAATTTAATTAATTCAAAATCAGGATCCCAAGGTAAATGCATAACATGAAAATGTCACCACAATTTCGACAATAAACTAAACACAAAAAAAAATATGAAATTGGTTCAAATAATTTCTATCTTTCTATGAATATTAAAACAAAAATAATGGTTGCAGTGAATTCACTTAACATTACAACAAAATGCCTACTGTACGTAAAAAAAATGTTTTTATTCACCAATATAAATATAATAGATGCTGGGCTACACTTTGACACTGCTTTTACCACATTACATGTCTCAGAAATAACCTTTTAGCCACAAAATACATTTCAGTTAAAGTTTATAAATTTAAAATAATAAGCAGCACAAAAGAAAAACTGATGGTAAATCAAAATAGACATTTCTATTTTATTTTAAGTCTGCTTTTAATGTCAATGAGTCAAAATTATCATTATTGCTTACATCTTGAACTAAAATGATAAACAGAAAATAGGTTATTTTGCAAAAGAAAACTTCTGGAAAACAAACAGTTTTTTTATAGCTTTAGATCAATTAGCAAGAATATATGCTTGAAAAAACAACAAAAATTCAAAGGTTTACCATCATATACCAACAACTGTCTCATCACATTTGTACCTAGAAGTTTTACAGTACTTCAAATTGGTTCCCTTTCTTGAAAACATTATTAAAAAATAATACACATTTCTCTATTTACAAGTGTCTTGCACTTATTTAAATGATGGTAGAAACTTTGTTTCATAAGTCAAATGGCAATTACTGTCGCACGATATTGTGAGAATTAGAGTTCAAAAATGACAACTCCACAAATGATTATTAGTCACTAAGACTCTATCATTTCATCAATAAACATCTCCTGTGGCAGAGAAGCTAAATATTCAGACAGCCTAGATCTTTTGTTTACTTGTGGGGGATCAACTTCAATAACTGATGGAGAGTCTTCAACATCACCAGTGCATGAGGGTCCCAAGTAATCGCAAATATCCTCTTCATTTTCAGTCATTAGACAGTAGTTGTGAAGAACACATGCTGCTGCAAAGAGAATAAATAAATATAATTAATAATGCTACAAAAGCTTTGATGCAGAAATATACCTAAACAAATAAGTTATATGTATAAAAATTAACCTATATGCACTGCAAGGTTAAACTGTGCATTTCATGACCTGTTAGTTACATTCAAAATTTAATTAAATAACTTTATTATCAAATTAAGTCCATACACTTGGTATCAGAATATATTTTATAATTTTAATTCTATATATCTTTTAGCATCTTAATTTCAAAAGCAGATACAAAATAAATTCTCAATCTTCACTTCCCTCTGTCACCTAACACAACTATGCTCCAATTTGCTCATTTTAGATTTTCTGTCTGCCCTTGTTTTACATGATTTGTTGACTGTTTAACTAATTAGAAACATGTACTAAATATATTGAGAAACCAGAATATAAATTTAGATCCTCCAATCTTCTTGCTACCAAGATATGAAAAAAAGTCAAGCCCACATGACATGCTCTTCCCCTGTTATTCTGTCTTTCAAAAAATGTTAATAATTCTCTCTGACATTGCTTTTGGATTATTTACAACTAACAAAAAGAGCAACTTTTTCCTTACAAGATTCCTTATACAGTTATTTCCTTTTGGTATCCATAAGAATATATTTAACGGGATTTTAATTGTTTGTAATTGTTTTTTCTGCTCCAAGAAGCTAACAGAATTTTTTAACCTATTTATAGCTTAGCTAAAAAGCAAGTTAAATTATAGTAGTTTGGGGCCACACTATTCTAGCGCCTGATATATATTTTGAGCATATTTAAAAGTTTCATTTTCCCTTGTACATTGATGATTTCATTACAGTTAATGTTAGGGAAGAGAAAATAAGAGATGAAATATAAAGTTCTACTAAAAATCTCTTAATCTTTATTTAGGAGGTTCTATGCAAATGAAATATGAAATCTGTATTATGAAAAAAGTGTTTTTATTCTTATCACAAAAAATCACTTTTCACTCATACAGACTCAGCAAAGGTCTTGTAAATTCATAAACAAATCTTAAGTAGAAATAGATGTTACAAATCTGCTTTTTTGTAAGCTACGGAAATAGTGTTTACTAAAAGATTGCCAAATTTCATGAAGATACATTTAGCAGATTCAGAATTACAGTAAACATTACTTCACAGAAACAGGAACTGACAAATGATTAATATTGGAAAGTTACTGTTTGTAACCTTAGTACACCTGATTATTAAATAAACTTGTAAAACTAGCCTTAGAAAATTGTTTATTTTGGTGAAAGTGTTTCTTTCTGTTCTGTAGAATAGATACACACATGCCTCAATATATTAGGAACAAATGAACCACAGAATTGATTAGATATGTTAATCACTAACTTATTTCTATTTATTAAAAACTAGCAAAGTATCTGGCTTCGCTTGGGTTGATAGTGTGTGTATTCTGAACCCATTTTAGCATAAAAGTATAACCTATATACTTTGTTGCTAAGCAAAATGACATAAAAGCCATTGTTAAAATGCATTGTTACCAAAATACACTGGCTTTTTCTATATATATATATATATATTAGAAGTTGTTATATAAGGAACCACTTCTTTTCTATATGGTTTTCTGCTAGCTTGCCTCATTAAAAAAAATGCACACACGCATGCACGTGGATAAGATAAGTAATACCCAGGTGCACACACTCAGTGTCCACTTAGCATGTCCACTCACTCAGCCAATGCATTCTGAATATATTATCCAAAAGATAAATCAGTCTACAGCAAGTTGGTTTTTTAAGTTTTTGTATATTATCATTTTGGAGCTATGGCAGTCACACACATGTGGGTCTGTCTGTGATTTCTATTTGTAATATAAGGAACCACTTCTTTCTTATGTGGTTTTTTTTTGCTAGCTTGCCTTTTTAAAAGATGCACATGGATAACTAATAATACCCAGGTGCACACCCTCAGGGTCCACTTAGTATGGGTGCAAAATTTCAAGTTTCTAAGTTTTTTCCTCTTGGAGCTATGGCAGTCACATATTCTATTCTATGTGGTTTTTCACTAGCTTGCCTCACAAAAAGATGCACACACATGTGGTAAGTAATAACATCCAGGTGCACACCCTCAGGGTCCACTTAGCATGTTCCCTCACTTAGCCAATGCATTCTGAATATATTATCCAAAATATAAATCAATCTACAACAAGTTGGTTGTTACAAGTTTTTGTATATTATCATTATCTGCTTTTTCTTTATTTTTGCTCAAAAACTATTATATAAACCTCTCCTATCCTATTATTTACTAAGGTTACAGGTCAATATCAATAAACTGTGGCTTTGACTTGTCTAAAGTATAATGGATTTGTTTGTGAAAGCAAAATATTTCAGAATATATTCAAATGTGCCTATACTCTTTCTACACCAGTGTGAGGCTCTCTAGCTTGTAATTTCATATAACAAAAAGTAATTTGAGAGACAAGTTAATATGTTTTATGGTTGTAAAAAATCCTTGTTTATTTACAAGCTCCTTTGGAATGATTCTTTAAAACCAATGTTTTATTTAGAATTTTAAAAATGAAGTCTTCTTAAGTTAGAATTTGATATTTTCTCTTTTCTTAAGTGCAGCAACATTACAACTAATAGTATTGATTTAGTAACACATTCAAATACCTACTTCATAATTCACATTGATTCAAAACATTTGAATGAAAAAATTATGTTTTAATACAAGTTTTACACATACTATTATATATATTTCTCATAACTGTATCACTTTTTTAAAGAGATTAAATTTTAATTTCAAAATTATTCTAGAAGGAAAAGTTATTTAAAAAACATGGGTTTTATTACAATTTAGGAAAATGACTAGCTTATCAACTAACCTGTAATTAAATATGGCATTTCTTGAATGGTGTCCATGCCAACAAACTGTAGTCTGCACCATCTACCCTTTAACAGGGAGAAAGCTGTTTGAATCACCTCTCTTGCAGTTTTTAGGCCCTGATTAAAACGTATTTCACCAAGTTTCAACTCAGTATCCTCCTCTTTGTAAGGTACCAGTAACCACCTAAAGAAAGAATAAAAGAATAATTTGAAAATCAAATTTATAATACAGTAGACATATATTTACTTGTTTGTATCATATTACTTCTAGATTTTGACATACATAACTTTTTTAATGTAAGTCTTCCAAGAAAATTACTGAAACCACACAAGTCCTCTTTGGCACTGGATATGGCAGATGTAGTGTGATCAACAAATGTTCATATATTCTTCTTTGCTTGCACTCATAAGCTCTTAGAATCACCATTGTTCAATAAATGAAACAGTGTAGAAATTACTATGGCAACAAAGAGCATAGTATTCAGTTACACTGATATCAATCAAGTAGTTACAAGCACATGCAAAATGCAGTTTCTGGAAATGTTATGCTGGGTATTAGAATTAACATGAACAGCAAAGGAAAAAACTTATAGAAGTACACAATAAAAAAGTAAGTACTTAAGATTGTGACAATCCAATATCAAACATTGTCATGTACAGCCTATAACATTACCTAAGTTTATTTACTAATTAGTTAATAAGTTTTAAATTTTCATTTATCTTACTTTATAACTAGATACTAATTATTAATTAGTTTTTATCCTACATTTAGGCTGCAATATGCTGCTATATTTAGTGAAGTCCTGAGAAGGAATATTTATGTGTTGGCAACTGAATGAAATGTAGGATAAGAACTAATTAGACTTAGGCCATTGTATAGGCTACTAACCATGATAATTAGATAAAACACTATCTTTATTCATAATAGTGTATATGTCTTTAACCAAACCAGACAGCTTGTGTATTTGTTCTAACTCAAAATGGCTACTGAAGTATGGAGAGTGATTATCTGAAACATCCACATGGGCAAAGAATAATATAATACCACACTTTCAAAGTCAGACAAATATCCCAATGTGGTATCCCACAATCCTTAGAATATTTTCATCAAGGGTCATTCCAAATACACATATTCAATGTAGTTAAACTTCCTACTCATACCAACTAGTACAGGTTACTATATCACCCCTTAGGCCTGAAACAGAAATGGGTAATCCAATTTACAGGAGCTCTATGAATTAAAGGGCTAAAATGTGTTTACAATCTTTTTATATCTTTCTTACACAGCTGTAAACTACATGAACAGTACCTTATTAAATATGTTTGAAAATCACCTGAACATACTATACCTGACTCAAGATATATTCTAAACTACTTATGGAAAGGTGAAATCAATAAATATTTCACATTTGACACCTCCCTTTCTTTACCATAGGGTCTTTCCAGACATAAGCATTAAAATTAAACATTACTGGCCAAATTAAAAGGTTAAGTATAAGGTTGTAATATGCAGCAACCATTTCCCTCAGGTGAAATGCAAGACACCATGACAACAAAGAGTTACACACGTCTTAAAATTAAACTTAAATAAATTCAACATAAAAAAAGCAAATTCAACTGCAATAAATTAAATTTTACAATAAAAAATTCCACTCAAATAAATACAATTCAAATTAAGCATTAAAACCAAAATAGAATAAAAAATAAAAATTTAAAAACATTACTCAAATGAGTACAACAGTAATTAAGTAATCTTTAATAGGTTGTTTAGGCAGAGTATTGATAATGAATCTAAGTTTCAAATGGACAGCAATTGCCTGTTGTAGAAACCTACAAATGTAGAGAACAACTTTCAAAAGTCTTCCTCCTTTCATCTTAGATTCAGTAATTAAGTATTACAACACAAATTACAAATTAAAAAGTAAATGAAAATGAGATAAAAATAAATAAAACACAGGGATATATATATATATATATATATATATATATAAGAAGCAAAACTTAATACAAAGTTAAGTATGTTAAGAGATAAAACATCTGCTAATGTCACATTAGAGAACAAACATAAACTGAATAGAAGGTTAAATACAAAATAAAATTATAAAGTACACAAAACATATATATCTTAATATCACAAAATAAAGAAATCAAATTTTAGATCACACACACACATATATACATATAAGATACTTAGAAGTTTACAGATTTAGATACTGACGTACTGATGTGAACTGTTATAGCATCAGGGTGCTTCATTAGATGTGATGTTTGCTCTATAGGATCCCTCTTTCCAGATTCAAAATGTATTACCATCATCCATGTCTACAATGGTGGGCACACCACAAGACACCAATAATTTAGAATTCATACACTCAAAATGACATATTACTCATAATCACACACAATGTTCTTTTGTGTTGGTAATGCAACCGCAACACAGTTTGCTGTATTCAGGTCCATTGGAGTCATTCTCATTAGTTCTCTTATGAGTGCAATAAAATTTCTTGGGAATTATAAGATCCATGGCTTCATTAACAAGTTAAGTTTTAAAATATTCATGGTGCTTGGCCACAGAAATGTCAGATGTTCCAATCAGCAACATAGGGTTGAATATGCAACCAGGAGATTACAAATTGGAACAGGGTGAATGCTTGAAAGATTGTGTCCCAGCACCTCTGGATATACTATACAGCAGCCTTTAGATTATCAGTGCTTGAAACCACTCTGCTCCAGACAAAGAACATGCTGCCTCAGCAGCAACACCTCCAGTGTCTGGTTGCCTTAGCAGGGTTTGGGTCCACTTAAGAAGTGAAAATTCAAACTGGTTCCCTATGCCTGTGACTGAATTGCCCTTAACCCTCACTCAAACATCAATATGCTTCTGAGACAAGTTAAATATAATATGTAAAATTACATCTGATTTCACTAATAAATCCAGTTACATATTTCTGCAGTCAAAACAATAATTATATGATAAAACTACAAATAGTTAATGCACAATTTCTGTATTGCAATTATTGTTTAAAGAAGCAATATTGAGATAAAACATTTGGTAATATCCAGAGTTCATAAATGTTTTATTGTAGAAACAAACTTATATCTAAATCAGAACTATTCAAAAAAGTTGGTATACTAAGTTTTCTTTCATTCTGAATGAAAACTACCAGTAATTGTGATTTCTCTTTATAAAGACTGAGTTGCATAATCTACAAATATGCTCAGTTGCTTCAACTGCAAGATATTCTTTCACCAATACCAGCAAAAGACACGTGTCCACCACATTTTCCATCTGGTGTCATGTAGATTCTCTAGCAACTCCACGTCACTCTCTGAGTGAGAAATTTCATGCTTATGAATATTACAGTTAGAGACCAAATTGTATGCATTTTTTACCTGCATTAAGAAAACACAGAATATGCAATGTTTATTTCTCAATGTAATCTTAACTAAACCTACCATGTTAATAATCAAACCAAAGTTTTATTTGCCAAAAACAAGTTATGTTCTTGTATATATATCACATTTACCTACATAATTAAATATACACAAACTGATTCAAATATATAATAGAAAATATGCAAGTACTGACAGGGACATCATTATGTTTTGAAGTAGGCAGCTGAATTTGGAAAAAAAAAAATGTTTGGTACACATGGTGTTAATTCCACAGTTTAATCAGAAATACAAACTTAACCTGTCAAACTAGTCAGTTTTTTATTTTTTGTCAATTCTTTAATATTTTGTGCATTATTATGTTGATGCATTATTACCGCTTTTTAAAACACTTGAGTTATCAAACATTACTAATTCAAGCACAAAACAAAAGAGACTATGAAACAAGCCATTAAAAGAAATTCTAACTGACTATGCATTACAGAACAAAGCACTAAAAATTATTCATCATTTACAGTCCCCTAACTATACTTCAATTTTTAACAATTTTAGTTTAATAATAAGTGATAAAGCCTTGCATCTTTTTCACAAAAACTGTGATTTATCCCAAGTTAAAAACTCCTCCAGAATATAAGTAATATTTATCAAATATATTATTTCAACTTGCCAATAGGAGAACAAGTCAACTTGTACCTCACTGATTGCTCAATACACATCACTACAGGTCACAAAGACAACAAAGCAAAGATTCACACACTCATATTGTTGTTCAACAGATTCACACTCATATTATTGTTCAACATTAACAATGTTGCATATCTCCTAGTTTTCTATTATTTTTAACATTTTATCAGTTTATTGCTGCAATTCCACCTAACAAAAGAACTGGAAACCCCGTAAGTTAGTATCACAGTTTTAAATGAATTCTATTCAGTTTAAATCTGAAAGAAAGAAAAAACAAAAAAAGCAAAATAATTTCAATAAAATATGTCACAATACAGTTTTTTCAGTCCTGATTGTTCTTGAAGCATTTAGTCACTCAAACGAGCTCAAAATGTTACTCAAACTATTCCAGCCAAGATCATTCACTATCTATACCAAAACCACTAATGTCAGTTAGTTGATTATTTTCATAACAATGAATTTAATCATAATTGGGATAATGAATAAAAAATTGATTTGAGCAATTTCATGAACCCAAGAAACGTAAAATGAACAAAAACCTAAAATGACCTTCAAAAGTTTGTATGCAGCAGTCATTTAGGATAATCAATGAATGAATAATAAAGGCCCACCTTGCTTACACTGCCATTAGATCACACTAAAAATTATGAGATGCAACGAGCATCTTAAAACACAACTAAAACAAGATGCTACAACCTTAATCAACTCCTGCTGACAAGCTTCCCCTGAATAGGAAACAAGTTAAAATGACAGACATGCAAGGACAAAAATAAAGTAGGTTTTAGGTTTGATTTTTTAAAATAAGTAATATGTATATGGAGGTCATCTTATTACAAGAAGGGCACCTTGCAACAAAGCCCTATAGATAAAAGTGTCAAAGGAACATAAGAAACACATGATAATATGAATAGTAGCAGTGAGACCCACAGGTAATGAAGACATCCCTAAAGATATGTGATCCTAGTTAAAATAATCCAGAGAATAACACTAACTGCTAATGGTGCAGAAAAAGAACATCTTAAAACAAGACAAATCATAAGATGCAGGGCAGAAAACTGATGACAAGTCAAAGGACAATGAGGATGTAAGTTACCTTCGAGAATCCAATTAAATGTCAAACATTTGAGAAGGAAGATTAGAAGGAGAATGTGAAGTGAATACTGGGCAGAATTGAAAAATATTTGCAACCCCAATATCAGGAGAAGATAAGAAAAATAAAAGAATCAAGTAAAGAAATTATGCCAGATTACACCCTCAGGTGCAATAGATATAGATTCAATATTGAAAATATATATAACATACCTGAGAGAAAATAAATGTGACCATCAGAAGTGTCGTCAGAATTAGGGCTAGCACTGCAGCACACAAATCCAGCTCTGCAAACTCTGAAGTTGATTAGGCCTGAGCAAAAAATCGACCTTCATCAAAACCAAAGGCAAATAGTGGTTGTTATGCAAGTTAAGCATTCACTCGATCATGATACACGCTATAAATATCAGTATACAACTGTATAAATGCGTCAAAATATCAGAGATGACATAGCATCTACAATTTGCACTGCACATTACCAGCAAATTGTGTAACTTATAATGTTCTGACAGTAGTGGAAATCTAAATTAAGGTAGGAAAATAGAGCTTATGTATATCTCTGTAGAAAGTGAAAAATTGTGTGTAACACATGCTCTGCAATGCACAAAGGACATTCAAAAATCTTTAGTCACGTTATGATGACAGTACGAGTTCAAACTCAACATGAAAAGACATTCAATTCAATAGTTCAGAGGTAAGCCTACCTAATTTGAAAACACATTTAACTTTGCCTTGTGGATAAACTCTGTCTAACTATCTTTCTTACAGATTGTAATATACTGTGCTATTACTACCGATTTCTTTGGAAAATAAAACTTCAGAATTTTAGGTGGAGAGTCCATATAATTATCTTTTCACTGAAAATGAAATCATTACCAACTCATTGTATTTCAAAAGTTTTAATTACATTTATTTCATCATGCAAACTAGAATAACTAAATGCCTTAGGAACAAAATGACTAAAATGGGTACATATAAAATCCTGAAAATCATTGTTGGTTTGCGGCATATACTTTAAAATTACCCTGTTGATTATACACCAAAGTATCTAAGAATGGCAAACTAGATTCTTGTTTGTATTCAACAGAAAATTTTACATTTGAATGTTTCATATTAAACTATTTCCAAATATTTTCATCATAACTTTGGGTCTGAAAAATAGTATCATCATTTTGATTGATTAAAAGGAAACAAAATACATTAAAAACAGCATGATTTCTTTATTTTCTTCAGTAACAAAATTCTAATTGGTTATATTATTATATTAGCAGACTAGGTGAGTACCACTTTGTCTACCTGTCCTTTTGCTCAAAATTAATATCTTAATATTACGTGAAGCTTGAAAATGTTCGGGATTTCGCTAATGATTTACTGTTTGCAATTTCACTGATAGGTTTCACAAACAAAATGAAACTCTGATGTGCCTTGTGGCGACATTGATAAATATAATATATAAATAAATAACGAAAATATGAATAACATGTTAAAGGTTGACTCATACAACTGTTAAACAACAGTTTCATAAATAAAATTTTTAGAAACATCAAAAAAACTGAGCTAATTCCATTTTTATTTTTACCTTATTTTATTAACTTTATTCCTTGAATGATTGTGCAAGGTAAGTTGCACCAAGTCTTTTACTTAATAATATAAAAATAAATGCTGACTACAAAGTATTTGTCATTATTGTTACAACGTATATGTATAAATCACTACATGTTGTATTATTAGTGTTTAAAGGAGAAGTACTAACAATATAAATTAACTTACTCCATTGAAGGAAACCCAGCATCTCCAACAATATGGGTACCTTCAGTAAAAACCTCTCCTTGTGTGGCTCGTGTGAATAATGGTGAGTTTTCCAAAACATTTGACTTGTGGATTGACCCTGGATAACCTGCCAAGGTGTCTATGAACCTACACTGATGGTCACATGTGGCCTTCAAAACAAATCCATAAAAATTATCTAACAGCATAATATCAAACAGAAGTTTAACAATGTATGGTGCTTCTGATAATCCAAATGTATTTTATCCTTTATAAAAAATTGAATTAATATTAGTTGTAATATTTCTATTACTTAAGCATTGGTAATTTTATTTCCACTTCTTAAAATAATGTTTCAGGTATGATTGCATCAACAATACTGTGAAATAAATACCAGTGTACAAACTTATAATGTATTGAGAAACAACAAAATGGGAGTAGCAGTTGAAGACTGAAAACATCTTTGGAATCTAAATAATATATGTTGTGACTTAAAATGCTATCAAAATCATAAAATCATAAATTACAAACAGCCAAAATTCCCAATAATCAATTCAGAGATCTGAAAGTTAAACAATCTAAACATATTGCTAAAAAACATTTTGAGCTAAGACATGACATACACATTAAGCAATAAAATTCTATATAGATACCACACTTCAAGAATTAGTGCAAAATTTGAGGTATATATATAGAATTGTTTTGAAAATGACAAACAATAAACAAATGGTGAAGTTTTAGCTATGTGGAAATGATTCAGCAAAGAGAGCTAAATTGTTTTCCAGTAATAGTAATAAGTTAAGGAACATGATAAATAGGTAACTTTATGACTGGAAAAAAATTTTACTAATGGGTACTTGCAGGTATCTGTTTGAAGCTTTTGGCATTATTATTCATGTCAGTGATATGGATAGCTTCTTGAACAGTAATATTTCCAAACCAATTCTTTTATTGACACTTAGATACAAAGAAAAAAAAACAATTATATTGATGATGTTGCTGTTATTGAGAAAACCCTTGCCAATCTTAATGATTAAGCCAATATAAGATAAATGAGTTATAGTACTGAAAATTGTAAAATTATTCATTTGAGATATAGAGTACTTGCTTCTTTTCTTAAGGGGAGCATTAGCATTATAACAAGAGAGTAGCATTAATATGTGGTTGCTAATAAATGCCTAAAGCTTTCTGCTGATTTCTTAGAAATTTTGAAAACAACAAACATGATGGCTAATGTAGCCTTGTACAAGACAGGTGAGTCCTGTATGCCTTAACAAGGAGTTCGAGTAATGAGACTATAGAACTAATTAACCCAAGGTTTTGACTTGTTAAGCATTACATTGTTAAAGTTCATTGTGTGCCTAAATATAGCAATTAAATAAATATATTATTTCATAAATATAATATGCTAATTGAATGTGTTTGAATTATAATTCCATATGATACCAATATCTTTAATATCTTGAGTTTAAATAAAATGATTAAAGAAGTGTTTAAAAGTAAATATAATGGAGTTAGTTAAAAACTTCTTTAAGATTTATAAACTGATCACAGAAGTTTTCACAGATAATGAGCAACAACTTTCAAAACTGTTATTTTTCTTTCCAAAACTTAAATAAATGTGTATTTTGTTCTATAAATTCTGAATCCTTCTTCCTGATTCTCATATAAACTTCTTGATTCTCACATAAACTTCCTAGAGTTGGGCAAGCTATGTGAAATTGCCAACAAATACACATTCCTGGTATTTTAAATAAAATGCTACTTGTGACAGGTTGTTAACTCAACAATAAATGTATCTGTTACAAAGCTAATAGAACTGTTACAGTCAGAGCTGAAACATTTTACACATGTATCCCTTATTAGCAACTTATAGAGACCATCTTATAAACGGTAAATGGGTGAATGTACAATTAATCAAACTAATTAAGATTAAAATTATTTACCAACAATCTTTCACATGAGAAGATAAGCTATGAAAAATGTTAAAATTCTCTCAAAATGCATAAGACTGCAAACACATTTATTTCAATTAAAAAAAAAAAATCTCATACAGCATGTTCATGAATTCCTCGTCTTGTTTGGCACTTTTATTGGTCACAGTCTCAAAGTTCCAAATGCCTAGGGCATACAATATGTTCTTTTTAATTTTTCAAGGAGACAAACTTTTCCTACTATGACCAGTAAAATAAAGCTTCAGACTTTATAGTTAACATTTTTCTAAACTGAAATTGTATTTTCGATTAGATACTTACCTCCTCTCACAAAAAGCTTTCTTGGTTAGTACTTCCCTCTATTGATGCAAATTTTGCACTTGCCACTAGCCTTGTAACCCCACTTCTTTCTGCATATCTACATGTACATGATTATGCAGCAGTCCTCCACCAATAGGAGTGCAACACTACCCCTATTGTAATTAGTGCCCCTCTCTAATAATGCACTTGTTAATTACTTTGAGATTGGCCATGACAAAGTTAACTAATACATCGAAAGTGGGGAGGATGGGTAGGAAATGTGAGATGAGGTAAGTATCTATTCAGAAATACATTTTCAGTTTAGGAAAATGTTAACTTCCTAAACTTCCTACAAAAAGCTAGAATATCACACTGAACTGTTGGAGGGCCGGTGAGAAGACATTCCTCCTTTAAAAAGCACTCAAAGAAAGACCATGTGGCATGGAAAAGGAATTAGAAACATCACACCAGTAGGAGACTGCACCACTTCTGAGCCAGGTATACTACTTGCCCTTGAGTAAAGTGTTACTAAAACAAAAAGGCAGAAACATGGATGGACCCCAAAATGTTTTCATCATTAATGAGACACCTAGGTGTCGAGTGATTAGGGCGTGATACAGACCATAAATGGGAGTTCGACCTCAACCAATACCCGGAATTGTCCAAAAGGTCTGTGGTAGGAAGAGGGTCCTCTACCGTTCACCAAGAACCCGTCTCTGCATGTGTGTATCTCCAACACAATCAACACCAGATCCACTACGAACCAACATTCAGCAGATGGTAGGAAGAAAGGAGAGTTCAGGAGGTGCTCATTGGGAATATCTCTTCCAGTCCACAGTAGGAGCCAGGAACCCAGCCTTACATGTGGGAATTCATGTGTTTCAATTTCAAATAACATCAGATTCACCAGTAACTGACATCCAACAAACAGTAGGAAGATAGAGAGGGACCGCAATTTGGGATTGCACCTCCAGTCCAAAATCTGGCGGCATTGGGAACTTGTCGTCCAGTCCGTGGTAGGAGAAGGATACCAGCCAAACACATCCGGGGACTTATGTGGCTGGATCATCTCCAACCAATAGTTGACCCAACTGAGAACCAACATCTGGGGAATGGTAGGAAAGAGGAATATCTCAGCCAGATGGGCAAATTGCAATACAATGATATATGGCAGAGTGCTACAACCAACACCTGGCAACATCTGGAATTGTACATCAGGTCTGTGGTTGGAAGAGACTCAATGCCACAGAGCATCAGGGATGGGCAGTAATCCCTGTCTGCCTTATCCATGAAGTCCATAAGTGTATGGTCCGGGACGAACATATTTATGAAGCAAAAGACCACAAGATATATCTACGATTGATCTTACGGAACATCTCATCTCAATGGTGTGCATAATATGATCTTGTGATGTGTTATATTGTTTCAAGTATAATATGTGATATTGATGCATAGATGACAATCCAATGGGGTCAAACAACTAACACCTGGTGGTACCTAGAATTGTACATCGGGTCCACAGTAGGAAGTGCCTCAATGTTATAATCATCTAGCATGGTCACAGGATGTACAGTGCAGATTTGATACTAAGTATACCTGGTCAGGCACCACTCACCACAGAGCGGTAGCAAAAGGCCTCTGTAAAGAAATGAAAAATAAATGGAGTAGCCCATATATCTGCCCTGATGATGCCCTCTCAGGGAAGATGGAAAAAGAGCAGCCAGGAACATGATAAGGTGACAGATTTGATTGGAAAAAACATGAAAAAGACAACAAATATCCAGAGAAAAGGAAGAATATGCCAAACAAACTGACCCTGGAACTACCAAAGAACACAGTGCATGTGTTAGAAATCCAAGGGCTCTAGCCGGGCAAAGGAATTGGACAGGAGCAAAATGGACCTAAAGGTTGGAGAAGAAGGGAATGGAAAGAGGAGTGAAAACCTAATTAATCTCTAGATCAGCTGAAATCAAGTGCATAAAGGAAAGGACAGGACCTAAGGAACAAATATAGCAAAACCAAATCACAAAACACATTGGAAAAACAGTGACCACAGGCCAACAATATGAGAAACAAGAACAGCATATAAAATAAAATAATGCATCTGCTGATGTAGGTTAAAATGGAGGATTATAAAAAGCACGAAGAACAACATGGAAGTTCCAAATCATGGAGAGAAGCTGAGCAGGGAGTGTGAGCAATGGAGAATGAATGAAATAACATAGCCAGGAAATGAGAATGTAACACAGAAGCAAAACTAGTCAACCAAAAAGGGGAGACAAAAACCATCTGAAAGCCCACAACAGAAGAAACATAGATCCCTGTTAGAAGGTTAACTGAAAAAGGGCAGTATGAGGAATGAGAGTAATGAAAGGATGATAACCTAGGTGTATAGACCAACAGTGTGATATATATATCAATAACTCTGGGAAACCATCAAAGAGGAAGCACAAATTGGACAGGAAAACTAAGGAAGCAACATGCCTGGAAAGACCCAACCTTTCAGCAAGGGACAAGGTAAAAGTCACGCATGAAGGCAGAATGGATGGATGTCGCACACCAGTGTGGCAGATGAAGGGGAGGTGACACCAAAAACCATTACAGAAATGGAAACCATGTGAGAGTCATCCAAGATGGTGCCACCAGCCAAACTCAAAACAGAGAATTCTGAACTATTGAGAAGACACAAGGAAGAAGATGAATAGGTGGACATGTATAGGGGGAATGACTTATTAATTCTGATATAGGGCATACACTGCACCTGCCAAGGAATGAGGAACAAGTGACCAAAAATGGGTGTGTATCAAAGATAAGATGCAAAAACATCCAAATCAGGGACACCCCTAAGAGTCCACTACACCTAAAAACCAGAAGAACCAAAGACTACCCTTTTGAGAGAATCCTTATGGGATGGGATAACCAGTCCATGACCAAATTCA